TCCATGCATATATTGTTATACCATACCTGTATGTTCGGTTTCAGATTCACACGAGAAAGAAAGATAAAATAAATACGCTTCCTTATCGCCTCGCTCTCTTCCGCATTTCGCCCTTTCTCCAGCATTCGCAAGTTCACAATCCGGAAATCTTTGAGCAAAAATTCGTACACAGCCTTGTGCTTGACGATTTTCTCCACAGTTTGGAACGGAAATTGGCACAAAACCTGCAAGGAGGGTTAAATTTGGTAAACATAATTTGGGATCTGAACGTTAAATGGCACAAAACATGCAAGGAGTCCATCAGAGGGTTGAATTTGGCATGCAAAATGGGGATTTGAACCTGAATGTTGTTTTTGCTTGTATCACAGAACTGTGCGTTGGTGTTTGTTGGTCTCTACTTTCATTCACTTGGCGCTCATGGCAATGCCCATCTTTTAAAACGGAAATGACGAAAGTGAGCATAGAAACGGGGGCGGAGTCAACAACAAAAATTGGTTTGTATAAAAGTCTGAGGATTTAAGCGTTCCAAAAATACATCATAATTTGATGTTCCTATTCACAGTCACTTAAGAGATTGGTCTGCATCAACAGACCTAAAAAGATTGTTTTGCATAAGTCTTGTTATCTAAATCGATCAAAAAAAATACGAAACCATTCGGTGTTTCGACGGACATACAGGTATACGAATAACATATCATTCATGCCAATCCATTGCCATTGACGGGATGTGGCGACTGACAAACAACTGCCGATAACTGGTGGATAAGACCCCTCTGGTGCCAATAATCGATAGAAGTAAACGTATACATCCTATTCGAACGAATACATTCCATTTGAAGACAGACATTCAAGCATACGGATATACGTGACAGACAACAGCCGATAACTGGTGAATAAGACCCCTCTGATGCCAATTACCGATAGAAGTAAACGTATACATCCTATTCGAACGAATACTATATATTTGAAGATAGACATTCAAGCATACGGATATACGTGACACACAACCGCCGACAACTGGTGAATAAGACCCCTCTGATGCCAATTACCGATAGAAGTAAACGTATACATCCTATTTGAACGAATACATTCTATTGAAGACAGACGTTCCAGCATACGGTTATACGGATATTGACATACCATTGACGGGTTATCGCGACTCACAAACAACAGCCGATAACTCGTGAACAACACTACTCCAGGCACTCCATCGGCATCTCCGTCTGTGGCCGTATCACTCCTCTGCGTTGTCGTGTCGTTACTGCGACGGTTCAGTGGCTGCGGATATATGTGTGTGTCTCCTGTATCCCTAGTGTATTGCAGATACGTGTACGTGTATATATGAAGCGAGATCAGTTAGGTGATTGCCAAAGGTCGCGACCAATATGGAGAGATGTACGTATGTGTGTGCGTATGTACACATCCCTAGTATATTACAGACACATATACGTATATGTATAAACCGTTAGGAAACTGCCAAAGGCCGTGAACAGCATATAGAGATGTACGTACGAGTGTAAGAGCTCTGTAGTTTGACTGCAATAATATTACGTATATACGTTGGACTGTAGTGGGTAATGTATATATGTCTGACTATATGATACTTCCACATCCATCTAATATATCCGTGAATGTGGCATAAGTATATGTATCTATAGGCACACTCGTGTATGTTCTATGTCCTTTAGGGTTGAGGGTTTAGGGTA